TGTGCATGTTCTTTACCCAAGTTTCTATTGGTGTTTTTGCTTTGTTGTTGTTGATTTTCAGCAATTCTTTATATATTAAGGTCATCTCCTTCTGTACATTGGCCAGTCAGAGTGACTCCCAAACTCCCTGAGGATTAGGAGGCAGGGACAGGGCTGAGCTCTGGGTCCTTGTCCCCAGAACCCCAATCGTGCTGAAGATCCGTGGAGGTGGGCGGCAGGAAGGGGCTGGGTGGGCCAGGCAGGGAGTGGCAGAGGCAAGGAAAAGAGAGAGCAGCGGAGAGCTGGAGCCAGAGGCTCTGAGTGACAGAGCCCTAATGGGAGGCAGATGGAGGAAACAAGGCTGGCCCTGCTGACAGGAGGGAGGTCAGGGGGCACGAAGCCCTCTAAAGTTAGGAGCCTGGGAGGTGGGCAGGCAGCAGGGCTGGCTCCACGGTGTGGTGCCCCAGGGTTGTGAGAGGGCAGGGGTCAGTTCCCCCTCCTGCATGTCCAGGCTCATGAGCCCACAGCCAGAGGAGCTATGAGGACACTCAAGCCCCAGAGGCCAGAAGCATGGAGAGGTGCAGAGACCAGGGCTGGAGGCCCAACCTCGCAGTGCAGCCCTGCGCGAGTGCCCAGACCTCTCTGAGCTTGCTTGTTTGTGAAATGGGGTAAGAATATCACCTACTTTACAGGATTTAGGGAGATCAGTGCTCCAGGCGTTCAGCGTGTCTAGTGCTTGGCACACAGAAGCGTCCCCGTAAATACAAGTGGACTCGTGTACTATGCTTATTATGATGGTCCCCCTCACGCCTTCTCTGCCGGCAGAGCCCATCAGCCACATCAAGGAGGGCGTCCTTGGCTCCAAGACTGTCAGAGCTGGGAGGGCCCTCAGGTTATAGGTGAGGAAACTGAGGTCCAGAGACCAGAAGGGCCAGGCCTGGGTCACTTGTGAAGGTGGGTTTACGTGTGCTCTCCAAAAAGATGTGTTCACACCGAGCACGGTGGCTCACGCCTGTAATCCCAGCACTTTGGGAGGTTGAGGTGGGCAGATCATCTGAGGTCAGGAGTTCCAGACCAGCCTGGCCAGCATGGTGAAACCCCGTTTCTACTAAAAATACAAAATTAGCCGGGCATGGTGGCGCACGCCTGTAATCCCAGCTACTCTGGAGGCTGAGGCAGGAGAATTGCTTGAACCTGGGAGGCGGAGGTTGCAGTGAGCCGAGATCACGCCATTGCACTCCAGCCTGGGCGACAAGAGCAACTCCAACTAAAAAAAAAAAAAAAAAAAGGTATGTTCAGTCCTTGCCTTGTCGCCTGGAATGTCACCTTGTTGGGAAAAGGGGTCTTGCCGATACCATCAAATGAAGCTGTGGCTGTGATGGGGCTTTGGGTGGGCCCTATGAATCCAGGGACCAGGGCCATTTGGAAAGGACAGGGGGACTTGGACCGTGGTGCAGACACAGGAAAGAAGGCTGTGTGGAGACAAAGGTGGGTGGGGACTGGGGTGCTGCTGTCCCAAGCCGAGGCACACCTGTGGTCACCAGGGGTGGAAGAGGTGGGAACGGGACCTTCTCCGGAGTCTTTGCGGGGAGCGAGGCCCTACCCACACCTTGAATTTGACCTTCCAGCCTCTGGGACTGTGGAGAAGGGAATTTCCATTGTTTTGAGCCACCAGGTTTGCAGCACCTGTTACAGTGGCCCCAGGGCAAAAGCAGGGCTCAGACCAAGTCATCCCACCCAGCTCTGCTGGGACCCCATGCGGCTGACCTCCCCCAGTTCCTCACCATGAGCCCTTGGGTAGGTCTGGCCTCCATCTCCTGAGGGCTGAGGGCCGGCGCATAGGTGAGAAGACCAAGACCTGGCCTGCCACGGACACAGTGTCATGTGATCAAATGTGTTGTGTGATCAAGAGGTGAACCCCTGGGTCGCCTGAGAGCCGCCGCACTGCTCAGGGCCTTATGATCCATTGAGAGGGTGGGGGCTCTTCAATCGAGACAGACACCTCCCGACCCACAGAGTCGCCCCCTCCGGATGTTCATCGCTGTCCGGTGAGAATCTGAGCCCTTCTGATTTTTACGAGGCAAGCTGCAAATCTCCATCTCCCTGTGAGCAAAATTTCACTCAGGAAGATACTGCTTTCGCTCAGCAAGAAGCAAGGCAGATGTGTGTGGGGAGCCGCGGACCCTGTGGTCTGTGGCTGCTTCTGGGAGGCCCAAGCTGGTGTGGCCCCAAAGGGGCTTCAACCCAGCTGCCCAGCCCACCCCTCCTCCTGCTCCTTTAGGCAATGGAAAAGGAAGCAAACAGAGGCATTCTGAGTGCCTGGTGGGGGGGGCCGGTTTCCGAGAGTCTGTCACTGGATCTGCCAACAGCTTTGACCACCAGAGCCAGCGGTTACCAGCCGCTGCCGCCCCTCAGCCTGCGGGTCAGGGTTCATCACTGGACTGTGAGGTGTGCTTCGGCTTTTCTTGCACAGTTTGTTTTGCTCATGGTAGAGGGCCTTAAAATGATTAATCAGGCTGGGCGCGGTGGCTCACGCCTGTAATCCCAGCACTTTGGGAGGCTGAGGCCGGTGGATCATCTGAGGCCAGGAGTTCAAGACCAGCCTGGCCAACATGGTGAAAACCCGTCTCTATAAAAAATACAAAAATTAGCCAGGTGTGGTGGCAGCTGCCTGCAATCCCAGCCACTTGGGAGGCCGAGGCAGGAGAATCGCTTGAACCTGGGTAGAGGGTGGGGCCGGAGGTTGCAGTGAGCTGAGATCCCGCCACTGCACTCCAACCTGGGCAACAGAACAGGACTCTGTCTGAAAAAATAAATGAGTAAATAAAAATAATACAAATAAAAATAAAGGCTGGGCGCAGTGGCTCATGCCTGTGATCCCAGTTCTTTGGGAGGCGAAGGCCGGTGGATCACCTGAGGTTAAGAGTTCGAGACCAGCCTGACCAACATGGAGAAACCCCATCTCTACTAAAAATACAAAATTAGCCAGGCGTGGTGGCGCATGCCTGTAATCCCAGCTAGTCAGAAGGCTGAGGCAGGCAGGAAAATCACTTGAACCTGGGAGGCAGAGGTTGCAGTGAGCCGAGATGGCGCCATTGCACTCCAGACTAGGCAACAAGAGCGAAACTCCAAAAAAAAAAAAAGTTTAGCTGGGCGTAGTGGCTCACGCCAGTGATCCAAGCACTTTAGAGGCCAAGGCGGGCAGATCACCTGAGGTCAGGAATTCAAGACCAGCCTGACCAACATGGTGAAACCCTGTCTTTTAAAAAAAAAAGTTTAATCCTAAAATCCATTGGATTGTCTTGAAATGCGCCTTTAAATGTCTTTTCCTGAGCTGGGCAACTCTCGCTGTCTGGCAGGTGCCAGGGAGAGGCACCCAACTTGGTGGAGTGAGTCCCAGGGGGCCAGCACTGTGATGTGGGTGGCTGGGGTGGGGAAGCCCCCTTCATCCTCAGCTTCCCAGGACCAAGAAGACATAAAGGCTCCGTGCAGACTCCAGGTGATAGAGGAGGCTCACATTCGTGGCAGGAGGGGAGATGCCTCCACTCCAGAAAAGTGTTTTTTCCAAGGCAAGTGGGAAATCTCCACTTGCATGTGAGCAGAATTTCCCGACTTCACTCCGGGAGAAGATATGTCTTTTCTGCGGGGAGAACGAAGACAGAACTGTGCTGAAAGCCATGGACCCTGGGCCTGGAGCTGCTTCTAGGAAGCCCAAGCTGGTGCAGCCCTCAGGAGGGGGTTCAGCCTGGCTGCCCACTCCCCCTCTTTCCTCAAACAGAGGGTTTTGATTCCTTCCTGCTGGACCCCACTTCCACGACACTTACAGAGCACTGGCTCCAGGATCTTGGGTGAGTTTGATTATATCTTTCTTTTTTCTGTGAGACAGAGTTTCGTTCTTGTTGCCCAGGCTGGAGTGCAGTGGTGCAATCTCTGCTCACTGCAACCTCCACCTCCCAGTTTCAAGCAATTCTGCCTCAGCCTCTCAAGTAGCCGGGATTATAGGCGTGCACCACCACACCTGGCTAACTTTTTTTGTATTTTTAGTAGAGATGGTGTTTCACCATGTTGGCCAGGCTGGCCTGGAACTCCTGACCTTAGGTGATCCGCCCGCCTTGGATTCCCAAAGTGCTGGGGATTATACCCATTTTAGAGATGAGGAAATCCAAGTTCAGAGCTAGGAGGTAGCACACTCCCGTGCTCCCAGCTTCTCAGGCGGCTAAGGCGAGATGATCGCCTGAGCCCAGGAGTTGGAAGCTGCAGTGAGTCGTGATCACTGCACTCCAGCCTGGGCGACAGAGTGAGACCCTGTCTCTAAAAAATACACAAGATGCATTGAGTCCATCAGGGCAGAAGTGGAGAGGGCTGGCAGCTGGCCTGGCCAGGTGCTCCCTGGGACAGAGAATAAGGAACTGAGGACGGGACACGCGGGGACCTTGGTCCTCATCATTACAGTCAGCCGGCCGGGTGGTGACAGAGGTGGCCCGGCCCCTGCTCAGGGAAGGCGAGAGCCGGGCCGAGCCGGAAGGGGCAGTGGCTGATGAGCGCGGCGCTCAAAGGCACCCAACGGGAGTGGGGCAGCGGCAGGACCGGAGAGCACAACCGGCGGAACTCGGACGGCGCCCAGCGGTCGCGGGCGGGATCGCAGGGCGAAGCCGGGCCGGGTCGAGCCCTGGCAGGAAGGGGCGGGCCCGCCTCGATCTCGGATCTGGCTTGGCTCGGGTCCGCGACCTCGACTCCACTGGAGCCGCCCCCTGGACCTCGGCCCAGTCCGCCTCCCGGCCGCCCTCCGAGGCGCGCCGAGGTCCTCCGAGCCGGCAGGGAGCACTGTGGCCAGCGCTCTACCCTGAGCTGGCGCAGGCCGGAAGTGCAAGGGTCACTTCCGTCGGGGGCGCGGCTTGGGCTGAGGAGGGGACCCGGCGGGACGCGGGTACTGGACGGGCGGAGCAGGCGGGGTCCGTGACCGCTGGAGCGCTCTGGTCCGCGTTTGGGCATCTCGGCCTCGGCGGAAAGCGCAGCCGCCCTGCCGCGCGGGGCCCGCGGCGATGCCGTTCCTGCACGGCTTTCGGAGGATCATCTTCGAGTACCAGCCGCTGGTGGATGCGATTCTGGGCTCCCTGGGGATCCAGGACCCCGAGCGGCAGGAGTCCCTGGACCGGTAACTTGTTCCCTTCTGTGGACTGGCCGAGGCCGCTCCGACCCCGCGGCGTCCCGCTTGACAGAGGAAGGGACGGGCGGAAGCCGGGGTTGCTTGGTTGGGAGCGCGCGCTGTCCTGCGCTAATCCCACTCCCGCGCCTTGCAGGGCGGCGGCGAAGGGCACGGGGAGGGCTCGAGGGCGGGGGCTCGCGGAGTGTCGCAGGGCCTCCGCCTCAGCTCCTACCCTGTCGCCTGCCTGTCCTGTGCCAACCCCCGCTCGGGTCCTGGCAGGGGAGCAGGGTGGAAGCCGTGAGGCCTCAGAGCAGTACAAGGGTGGGCTTTCGTAGCAGAGTTTGCACCTTCGTAGACAAGAGCTGGTCTATCGTGGACCTGCGGGAAAGGTGTCGGGGGCAATTCCGCTTTCACTGCCCAGGATACTAGGCGCCTGGGGTCCATCAGCGGTTCAGCAAAGGCCCCCGCCTTCCTGGCGCGGGGGCCCCAGTGGAGAGACTATGCAGCGGCGCGGCGCCCGAGGTGGGAGAAGAGAGGAGCAGCGGGAAGGGCGTTCAGGTGCTGGGGGGATGTCAGCTGGAATTTCCAACATGTGGTTATGATGAGTCTCTCCATCCAGGGCCTCTGGTGGAAACGTTGGCATTCTTCGTCAATATCAGCTAAAGGTCTGGGTGTGAGGGGAGGGAGGGGCCGCGTTGCTGTCCTGGCCGCGGGGGTTGCAGTCCTGCAGCTTCGAGAGCCAAGGGCTTTCTGAGGAGGGAGAGTCAGAGTCGGGCTTGGGCTCTTGGCCTCCAGGGTTCCCTTCAGTCCCAGCAGCCCAGGTGTGTGAGGCTTTGTACCCAAGCCTGGAACCAGACTCTGGGCAGCTTGGGAGCAGAGAGCAGATAGGCCCAGCCCGTTCTCTGCAAATGCACGTCTGCTCCCGTCTTTAAGAGATGCACCTGGCCCTCTCTACTTCAGAGCTTCTCCCAAGCCTCCGTGCCCCACAGAGCCGGGGCCCTGCTTGCTGACTGCAGCAGGACACCAAAGGCCACGCACCCACAGGCTGCCCAGTCAGCCGGTCCCACAGTTGTGCCTACCCTCAGCCTCTCTCCTGCCACAGGCCCAGTTATGTCACCAGCGAGGAGAGCCGAATCCGTGTTCTCACCGAGCTGCTGGAGAGGAAAGCCCACTCTCCTTTTTACCAGGAAGGCGTGAGCAACGCCCTGCTCAAGATGGCTGAGTTGGGGCTGACACAAGCTGCCGACGTTCTCCTGCGGCATGGGGCCAATCTCAACTTTGAAGGTCAGCTAGAGCCCCGGGGGTGGGGAGGTGGCTTAAACGTGGCCCTGTGCTGAGTGGGCGCCCATGTCTCCAGCCTCTGCTTTTACCGTTCTGAGGAGTGACTTCCTCCCCCGCAGTTTATTTCCTGGGTGGCAGCAACTAAGGAAACTCCCATTGGGTGACTTCCCATCCCCTGCGGGTTTTCACATGGCTCTTCCCACCTCTGTTCCAAGAGCTAGTGTTGCTGCTTCTACCGTGTGATTGATTAGCAAACTTTCCCCAGCGCCCAGATTAATCCCCACTCCCATTAACGGGAAAGTGCGGCAGCTGGCACTGTGCCCAGAGCTAAGGGAAGGTAATTTTCTGCCACTTAACTCTGAGCCCATTTGTTTTTTTCTCATGCCATAGGGAGAGGGGAAAACAGGCCACAGTCACTGCAGGACATGCCGGCTCCGGCTCCTACTGCCAGGGAGGACATGGAGCCATGCTCCTCTCTCTCTGGCTTTCACCCCGGGGCAAGGGGGACGACGACACAGGGTTAGTTAGGAGACGGGCAGGGCTTCCTCATAACCTTATGGGGGCCTGATGCCACCAGGCATATCTCCTTTTCCTATCCGAAGACAGGCTTGGAGGCTGCTGGGCTCTTGGAGGGTCAAGGAGCTGAGACGGGAGGTCGGGTTCTGAAGCCCGTGACTTGGAGACCAGCTTGGAGAACCTGGCTGTTACTACCAGGCCTACAGAGGGGGGCAGCCACAGAGCTGCGGCCTAATATGGCTCCCAGCCATCCCGAGAGGGCGCCCCATCTTATGGTCCTCTCTTACAGAAGAGGAAACTAAGGCCCCAACAGCTTAAGTAGCGTGCCCACTAGAACATCCCGAGGGCCCTCTGGTATCTGGTAACACAGCTCTGTCCTAATCCTTGATGGTGACAGGAGCCTGGGCCTGTGGCTTCTGGACACTTGAGGTGTGAGTGTGTGGCTGGGCTCTGGGTTGGGGGCCCCATGAGAATGGGAAGAGGTAGGACCCACACAAGCTGCACCTGCGCCTTCAGACCCAGTCACCTACTACACGGCTTTGCACATCGCCGTCTTGCGGAACCAGCCAGACATGGTGGAGCTGCTGGTGCATCATGGGGCCGACATTAATCGGAGGGACCGGGTGAGTGCCAGTTCAGCCTGCTTTGAAGTCGGGGGGCAGGGGCCTGAGCAGCTTTCCAGGCCAACCTGGTTGTGCTTGCTTGGCTCAGATCCATGAGAGTAGCCCCTTGGACCTGGCCAGCGAGGAGCCCGAGCGCCTGCCCTGCCTGCAGCGCCTCCTGGACCTTGGAGCAGACGTCAATGCTGCTGACAAGCATGGTGGGTGCCTCCTGCAGGAAACCAGGACAGCTGGGCCCCCAGGCACCTTGTGGGGGACCCCCCAGGGTACACCAGGACGACAGCTAGGTGGACAGGCTGGATGCTGGCCCTGGCTGGTGGCACAACACAGCTAGGCACACGGGAATTCTGCCAACTTGCTGAGCTCAGGCTTTCGAGAGGCAGTGCAGTCATTGTCCCCGTGTTGTCCCTCAAGGGCCATCTATAGGAAGAAACAGGGTATGTGTGCATTTAGCTTCCAAGAAACAATGGCTACCCAGCAGGGGAGGCCCAGCCCACATCTCAGGTAGCCTCTTGGGTCCTGAAAAATCCAGTTTTCCTGGACTTTCCACTCCCACTTCTCTGGGTGGAAAGGGAATAGCCAGAAGCCCATCACCCTCAGCCCTCACCCGAGCTGAGAGCTGTCTCTGAAAGTTCCTGGCCTCCTACTCCTCCTTGCTCTCCCTCCCTCCCTCCCTAGGAAAGACCGCTCTGCTCCACGCTCTGGCCAGCAGCGACGGGGTGCAGATCCACAATACTGAGAACATCCGACTCCTACTGGAAGGAGGTGAGGCTGGCGCGTTCTGAGGCCTCGTCCTCTCACCTTTGCATGTACTTCAGTCTGCAGGCCGTCCCTGCCCCCTTCAGTGTGTGGTGCTGCTTTGTCAGGGCTGCAGGCCTTCTCCCAGCATCTCTTGTTCTGTGGCTCTTCTAGGGGCTGATGTCAAGGCCACCACCAAAGATGGGGACACGGTGTTCACCTGCATCATCTTCCTGCTTGGCGAGACTGTGGGAGGGGACAAAGAGGAGGCCCAGATGATCAACCGCTTCTGCTTCCAAGTCACACGGCTGCTGCTGGCGCATGGGGCTGACCCCAGCGAGTGCCCGGCCCACGAGTCCCTCACCCACATCTGCCTCAAGAGCTTTAAACTGCACTTCCCCCTCCTGCGCTTCCTGCTGGAGTCCGGAGCTGCCTACAACTGCTCCCTGCATGGTGCATCCTGCTGGTCTGGCTTCCACATCATCTTCGAGAGGCTCTGTTCCCACCCAGGCTGCACGGAAGACGAGAGCCACGTGGACCTCCTGCGCAAAGCTGAGACTGTTCTGGACCTCATGGTAACCAACTCTCAGAAACTCCAGCTGCCCGAAAACTTCGATATCCACCCTGTGGGCAGCCTGGCAGAAAAGATCCAGGCGCTCCACTACTCCCTGAGGCAGCTGGAGAGCTATCCCCCGCCCCTCAAGCACCTGTGCCGTGTGTCTATCCGGCTCTACCTTCAGCCATGGCCTGTGGACGTGAAGGTCAAAGCCCTGCCTCTGCCCGACAGGCTGAAGTGGTACCTTCTTAGCGAGCACAGTGGCTCCATGGAAGATGACATCTGACAGGTCTCAGGCTACAGGAATGGGGGCATGGGCAGCTTAGGTCAGCTTGTTGGTGGAACCTGGGACAGACAACCTTAGAGGAGGGTCTTTCTTAATCTAGGGGAAGAGACGGGATCCTTCATGAGAAAAGCCAGCCAGGCAGAGCCGGAGGCTGTGATGACTCCAGTGGTGGTGTGGCTCCGTGTGTTCCAGAGACTGCCCCTTCCCCCAGCGGCACTCCAAGTCTCACCCATGTTGGAAAAAGGGACAGGGCTTAGATTTAAGTCATATTTATGGACGGGTGCAGTGGCTCACGCCTATAATCCCAGCACTTTGGGAGGCCGAGGTGGGTGGATCACGAGGGCAAGAGATTGAGACGATCCTGGTCAACATGGTGAAACCCCGCCTCTACTAAAAATACAAAAAAAAAAATTTGCTGGGCGTGGTGGGTGGCACATGCCTGTAGTCCCAGCTCTTCCGGAGGCTGAGGCAGGAGAATTGCTTGAACCCAGGAGGCAGAGGTTGCGGTGAGCCGAGATCAAGCCATTGCATTCCAGTCTGGGCAACAAGAGCGAAACTCTGTCTCAAAAAAAAAAAGATTTAAGTCATATTTATGTCCTCTGAATTGGAGGGCAGCACCAGGGCATTTGCAGAAGCTGGGCGGGACCAAGGCTTAACGTTCCTAGGGCTGCGGGGATGTTGTTCGCTGCACACGGCAGTATAGCTGGAGGTAAGGAAGCCAGGGGCACATCCTGTGTGGGGCTGCCAGCAAGGCCTCACCCCTACCCCTTTTCCTTCCAGGTTCTGTTCCAGAGTATGTCTGGTGGGTTCTGGGGGAGAAGGCACTAGGGGCCACCACGGGCTTGTCTTCATGGTATTGAAAGTCAAGCTGGCCTCTGCTGGTTGCTGTAGCTCTGGGGCCAGGTCAGCCGCGGCCCCACCCACCAGAACTGTGCCTCTAGGGGCAGCTGTGCTTGTGCCAAACCCAGGGCCTCGGCGACCATGACTTCTGCTAAAAAGCAATCATGAGCAGGAGGCTGGGGCCAGCCCTCTGAAGGGTCTCCTGTGAGGTGCTCACTTTGGAGCAGGCTGAGAGCCCACTGTACCACCCAGCCATGTCTTCAGTCCCTTCCAGGTTGCGTTGGTCATTGTGGATGGTGTCAATGCCTCTGGGGATAACTGAGGCGACTACATGACATATTTATAAGATTAAACTGACTTTGGCCTTAACAGTCCTCCTGTAAGTTTCTGCTCTGCCCTCCACAGTTTGGGATAAAGTCTCCCACAGCAGGGGGTAAGGAGGGAGGCAGTAGGTGAGAGGAGAAGCTGTGTTTGGGGTTTGTTTCCATGTCTGCAAAGAAGCACCACTCCAGACTGGCCAGGGCCCCACACTGTGGGAGTCCCATTTTATTTTAATTTTTTCCGAGACAGAGTCTCACTCTTGCCCAGGCTGGAGTGCAATGGTGCGATCTCAGCTCACTGTGACCTCTGCCTCCCAGGTTTAAGTGATTCTCCTGCCTCAGCCTCCAGAGTAGCTGGCATTACAGGTGTCCGCCACCACGCCTGGCTAATTTTTGTATTTTAGTAGACGAGTTTCACCATGTTAGCCAGGTTGGTCTCAAACTCCTGACCTTAGGTGATCCGCCCACCTTGGCCTTCCCAAGTGCTGGGATTACAGGTGTGAGCCACTGTGCCCAGCCCCCATTTTATTTTTTACTTTAAATGCCTGCCAAGGAGCAGCCTCAAGCCCAGAGAAGAGTGAGGCTATGGGCATCTTCCCTTGCTGCAGGCTGCTGTAACGCTCTAAAGGCTCCAGGTCTCCACTGCCAAGTAGGACTTGGCACGTGAGCACCCCAACCACATCACATCGGGCAGCACCCATGGGTTCCACCGGCCCAGCTCTGTCCCTCCCCCTAGGTAAAGACCACATTTCTTCAAGTCCGGAACAACCAAGCTGAGGGTTGTTCCCTTCCTCTTCAGGCAGCCAGGCCCATGGCTGGAAGGCCAGGCTGGAGGCCCGGGAACTCAGCTTCTGGTGTGGCCACCGTATCCCCACATCGGGGGACCTGGAGATCCTACCACCCAACACCATCTCACAGGGCAGCAGGGCCTGGGCTCCTGCCTCACCTTCTGAAGAAAAGCCTGCATAATGAGTGGATGGCAGACAGCTATATTTAGTGGTGCCTTGACACTCATGAACTGCCAGCATGGTGCCTGGATCTTGCCCAGCTGCCAGCTCCCCCCACCCGAGCTGTGGTTCCTCAGTTTCTCCTGCCAGCCCCGGCTCATCTCAGGGCAAAGCTATAGACGTGGTAGATCTCGTCAGGGAGATTCTCCTGCCTTTCCTCGGCCAGGAGGTTGAGGCCCGCGCTGTAGACAATCCTGCGGACCACATCCAGGTCCCGGCACACGCTGCTGTCCACATCATCCAGGATCACGCCCTCCTGGGCCATGTTGTCTTTGATGACAATGATACCGTTGGGGCGGAGGCTGGCCTTGCAGCGCCGCAGGAACTCAGCTAGGTGCTGATCGGTGAGGTGGCCTGGGGAGGGCAGAGGCAAGGTTACCAGGCACGATGCAAGCCTATGTTGCCCACTGGATGGGATGTAGTTCCCAGCCCCGCTCAGCCCTTGGTTGGTGCCCTGCATTTTATGTGCACTCATGGCCTCGCTGGCTCTCAGCAGTCCCGACAGGTTTACTGAACCCCATTACGTAGAAGAGGAAACTGGTTCAGAGGTCATCTCCCTAAAGACACACATTAAGATAGAATTTAACTTGCTGGGGTGACTTCCAAGCCCTGCCTGATACCTACACGCCATGACCCACCAGCCCCAGCCAGGCTTGGATCAGAGGCGTGAACCCGGGGTAGAGTTTGGCACTGCAGGAGCTCCCAGACAGATGGCCTTCTCCACCCTAGAAGTCCCCACAGAGGCCTCTGAGGCCACAAAATACAGGGTCAGACCTAGAGTGTCCACAGCAGGCCTGTGCTGCTGCCTCAGGAGTGGCCTGCCTCAGGTCAGCAACCCAGAGCACAGCACTCCAGGTGTGCCATTAGGCTAAGAGGGTACAGGGCTAGATACCGAAGCTTAAACTTTTCATCTTACTAAAAATAAAACCCTTAGGAAACACTTGCACTTCTCTGAACGCAGTAAGTTACTGGCCATTAAAACTTTTCAACAGGCCGGGCGCGGTGGCTCATGCCTATAATCCCAGCACTTTGGGAGGCCGAGGTGGGTGGATCACGAGGTTAAGAGATTGAGACCATTCTGGTCAACAAGGTGAAACCCTGTCTCTACTAAAAATACAAAATTAGCTGGGCATGGTGGTTCCCGCCTGCAGGCCCAGCTACTCGGGAGGCTGAGGCAGGAGAATTGCTTGAACCCAGAAGGCGGAGGTTGCGGTGAGCTGAGATCGTGCCATTGCACTCCAGTCTGGGTAACAACAGTGAAACTCCGTCTCAAAAAAAATAATAAATAAACTTTTTCAACAAAAAACTGCGCGCAAATGGATGAAGCAAAACCTGAAGGAGGAAATCTACTTTTCAGGCCAAGTCTGTCCTCGGTGTTGGGAAGCACAGGGTGTGGGTGGGCATGGGGGGAATCGGGGAATCCTCAATGGCCCACTTGCTGCAGAAGCACAGAGCCCCAGTCCCTGACACCTTCTGGGGAACCCCAGGGGCAGGAGACGTACAGGTGGGCAGGGAAGGGCGGCGGGACCCTCACCTATCACCCACTGGATCCAGATCACGTCGTAAGAGTCGGGCTCTGGGGTGAAGTCCTGGAGCCCACAACAGAAGTAGTTCCTCACCCTCTTGCCCTCCTCCCCCAGGTAAGTCTTGGCTCGAACCAGGAAGTCTTCCGTGACGTCGACCATATCCACCTCTCTGAACAGCGGCAGGAGCAGCCTCTTGGTGATCCTCCCAATGCCTGCTCCGCAGTCTAGGGCACAGGAAGTTCCTGTCTTGTTCGGGCCTTCCTAAAAAGCAGAGGCATGTAACCTATCAGAGGGACCCTGTCACTGCACACAGGACCCTTCCTCAGGAGCCCGGGGGCTCAGACTCAAATCAGGACTCTGCACAAGCCGAGCACTGGTGGGAGGTCTGTGCTGGCTGCCAGCTGGCACCAAGTCCTGATTTGAGAGGATGAGTGTGGAGGACACACTGCTGGGCCACACCTTCCTTTATCTTTGAAACTTTCTGTAGAGACAGGATATTATTCTGTTGTCCAGGCTGAAGTGCAGTAGTGTGATCATGGCTCACTGCAGCCTTGAACTCCTGGGCTCAAGCCATCCTCCCACCTCAGCCTCCCGAGTAGCTGGGACTACAGGCATGTGCCACCATGCCCAACTTTTTTTTTTTGGAGGGGGACGGGATTTTCTGTAGAGACAGGGCCTCACTCTGTTGTCCAGGCTGGTCTCAAACTCCTGGGTTCAAGCAATCCTCCCACATTGGCTTCCCAAAGTGCTGGGATTACAGGATTGAGCCACTGCCCCAGCCCTGGGCCACATATTTCTAAAATGAAAGCTCATTTCCACTTGAAGGTGGCAACTTGAACAGGTGCATGAATCTCTCGAGTCTCCAGGTAAATGACGGCAGGGCAGGGCAGAGTAGGCAGAATGGAAGCGGGGCAACTGGTGAACAAGGGTGCGGGGAGGGAACGTGGAGGGGGAGGTACTGGCTGGAGCAGGTGGCGAACAGAGCCTCCAGTGCCAGCCATGAGAGACAAGGAGGTGGGAGGCTTGGGGCCTGGGGGTCCCAACCTGGTACAGAAAAGGTTGGGGGTGGAGGGGAGGGTGGAAACCATGGCATGTAACTAGGAGTCTTTGTCCGGAATGGCGACACACTCAGCCCAGACCTGTGGACATGGCAGGAGAGCAGGGGTTTCCTCCCTGGCAAAACCCAATAGGTACAGAGAAGTTTGCCCCATTCTGGCACCTCAATTCTGCCTAACAGCCAACTCCTGTCTGGTAACCTTGAGGCTAAGTCCACAATCTAGAAGAGACCCAGTGTGCCCACCCAGCCCAGCTCCTCAAGGCCCTGGGGTAGGTACCAAGAGATAGCCAATGGCCCTGCAGTGTTACATGTAAAAGGTGGCCTCCCACACAGACTCGGCAGTGCCACCAGAGCCACAGCCTCTCCTCCTGGAGAGCACGCCAGACCTGCCTACCCTCAAAAACCTCTGCAGAAACTTCCGGGAGCTGTTGATGTCGATGCTGGAGATACAGCCATACCCCCCAAGCATGCCGTCCACCGTGGGCGGGATTTGCTTCCAGTACGTCTTGGCCCTGGAATAGAACTGCTCCTCATCTTCTATCACCTCGCTCGTCATGCTGTCACCAACCACAGCTCTGCTCAAGCACCACGATCAGCAACTGTGACTCTCCTGGGTAAGGAAGAGGGTGTGAGTCAGCCGGTCCAGGGACCTGGCAGAAAGGCCCCTGGGGCAGAGGGCCAGTCTCACACCGGGCTTCACGAGCCACACGTCCTGCCCAGTGCAGGGGGAAGTCCAGGATCACCAAATCTGCTCCAACACCTTGGATAACAGCATCTTCTGTTTTGCATGCAGAGTACCCATCCCAAGTCCTGGCTTCAAGTTCCCTTAATATTTTCATTTTTTCTGGAGTGCAGTGGTGTGATCATAGCTCGATGCAGCCTCCCAACTCCAGAGCTCAAGGGACTCTCCCACCTCACCCTCCGGAGCAGCTGGGACTACAGTTGTGTGCCACCATGCCTGGCTAATTGTTTTTTATAGAGAAGGGGGTCTCACTACATTACAAAGGTTGGTCTTGAACTGGGCCTCAAGAGATCCTCCCACCTTGGCCTCCCAGAGTGCTGGGATTACAGGTATGAGCCCCTGTGCCTGACCTGGCTTCGAGTTCTTGACATGCTCTATATGGCACCTGACTCAGTGGCTTCTGGGAAAAGAAAACCCTGATCAGTAAAAACAACCACAAAGCAGAGAGCACCAGCGACCCTGGGAGGGCCGGGGAAGTTCCCACGCCTGCCTCCCTCCGGCTCCGGGTACAGCAACAACTTGCTGTGGGGTCCAGTCCTCCGTTGGCGAGGAGTAGGGAGTCTGCTAGGTACCAGGCTGTGAACCAGGCAGACAGCCAGGTGGAAAACAACACACAGATATAACCACACCTGCCAGGAGGCCTGCAGGGGAGACACATGAGTGCCAGCAGAGCCCAGCAGGAGGAAGTGGACACAGGTGTGGGGAGCAGGGAAGGCC